ATATAAGCTGTGATTACTTATATATATGCATATATATACATATCCAGACAAAGAGAGAGTTACAGACAGAGAGAGTTATTATAGTTATTACTAATATATGTATATATATATATGCATATATATATATACATATATTAGTAATAACTATAATAACTCTCTCTGTCTGTAACTCTCTCTTTGTCTGGATATGTATATATATGCATATATATAAGTAATAACAGCTTATATATTATATAAAACAGGCAGTAACAGTAATTTGTTTCAATGTGAGCTTCAGTCATAACAACTAGTCATTATGTTTATGAATAGGTCAAAGAAAGAACGGCTTCTTTGCTTAAACCAATCAAATGTGGCCAAAGCATTTCCATTTCCAAGTAGTATTTCACCATCTGCCACTGAGCCAAGTGGGTCCAGAATATTTGCCACTTTGAGTTAAGGAGTCATTTTCTAATTTCTTCTTTTTCCGTCAGACTTTACAATAAGCAGAGAGTGCTGTGTTTTTTCATCTCCCCCTGCCGTGTTTTTCCCGTGCACACTCAGGACACGTGTGGTACTGAAGCGTAAGAAAATACACAGCTTCAACGTGATGATTTGCTCCACAGGCTTCTGCTGTAAGAGCCACTTTGCTCTTGTTGTTTGACAAAGAGCAACGTGTGGAAGGGAAATTGGCCGTTCTAAAAATAGCTCAGTAGAAAGATGCCTGCAAGCCAAACAAGCTATGGTGAACCAATTGCGAAGGCGGCAGGGGGGACAGAGGAGAACTCCTTTTGCATAAACCCCTTTCGCTTTTTCTCTCTTTTTTCTTTTCTTGCTCATCATCTAACTGTCCTCCACATTCCTCAGTGGTAATTCTATCATGTTCCATCCAGACATTTCTAAACAAAGTATATTCCTACTGAAAGATAAATGTATGCCTTTCTTATTATTTTATTTGGTTTAATATATATATATACAGTATATATATATATATATATTGCTGCATTAGGAAAATAAATATATAATAATTCTTGGTCCAATTTAAATGCTAATAATCCTACACACACACACACACACACACACATATATATATATACACCTTAGTTATTACTATATATATATATACAAACTTATATATATATACATATATATACGAACTTCAGGTGGTTTTACTGCAGGATTATTAGCATTTATATTGGACCAAGAATTATTATATATTTATTTTCCTAATGCAGCAATATATATATATATATATTTACATATATATACATATATATACATCTATAGTAATATGTATGTATATATACATATATAGTAATAACTAAGGTGTAATGCAGCAATATATATATATATTGCTGCATTATATATATATATATATATAAATTGCTGCATTAGGAAAATAAATATATAATAATTCTTGCTCCAATATAAATCCTGCAGTAAAACCACCTGAAGTTCGCGTGGATATGCTGCACTCCTGGGGATTTGCATGTATAGTGGTAAAACCATGACATAGATCTATCTATCTAGTGATCCATTTCTATTTTGATATATTGATATATGTATATATTTTTATATATAGTTTATATGAATATATGTAAATATATTCATATACATTATGTGTGTATATATATATACTGTTTATATATATATAGTTTATATGGCTATATGTACATATATTCATATACAGTATATGTGTGTATTTACAGTATATAAATATAAAGGGGGAGAGAGCAGTAATAATTAGTACCAATTATTTATTTATACTGTTATTATTGCATTTATTATTATATTGCTTCATTATCTTTCCTAAAATCTCTACTACTTTCCCACTCTGTGACAAATAAAGGAGAGAGAGAGACACTTTATTGCCCGAACATCTGCACACGATCTTATCATTTACTCCCTCCCTCCTCTATTCTTTAACATGCTCAGCACTATTTGATAATAAACAGACGAATAAATCTGTCCGTCTGATTTTTTATAGCAGGTGTGTTTTTGTAATTTTTTCAAGTGTTGCTTGTTTTTTGCTCTTTGCTCTTTGGCTTGGTGTGTCCTTTGTTTGAAATGATATCTTGTATTTATCACCTCCACTAAAAAAAAACTTGCAGAGGAGAGGTAACTTACCTGCTTATTTTTTCTAACTTTTATTTTCTTTTCCTCTACTTGCAGAATCACGTCACCTTCAAAGAGGTCACATGACGTGGAGTCGGCCGTGTGGCAGACCCACTGGACGTCCACGCTCTTCACTGTCCAATCACGTGAAACCTAGTGCAACACTATGTCCGTTCTTTGTGGGGTTCCGATGTGTGAATGTTGTCTTATGTTGTCTTTCCCAGGTCTCCATTGTCATTTGAAGATTTTTGTGTTGAAAGTTTTTAATTTAATTTTCAAAAAAAAAAACAAAAACACAAAAAACGGCTACCTCTTTGGGAAAGGTTTTTTTTTTTTTTCATTCCTCATTTAGCTGACCGGCCGAACTGACTAATCACACACTGTGAAATGAGAGAATCTGCAAAGGCTGGCCTCAGGATCTGTTTAGAAATAAATCTCTTTGCTTTATGTTCCCATAGTTTTAGTCACAGAGAATACTTACTACTACTACTACTTAATACTACTACTACCAATGTATTCCCCAGGATCTATGGTTGGGCTGTCAAACTCACTCAAGGGGCTGAAATTGAAAACAAGGGTTGAATCGATACCACTCCTTCATGTCCGATACCGATACTGCAACTCTGAGTACCTGCTGATACTATTATCAATCTAATACATTATTTTACCCTCCAGCATGCCTGTTTATTGCAGACCCATTGGACCGCCACACTCTTAACTGTCCAATCACGTTAAACCTAGTGCAGCACTATGTACAATCTCTATGGGCTTCCAACATGTGAATGTTGTCTGTCCTGAATCTCTGTCGTCATTCCCTGTTCGCAACTTGATGTGCAAAGTTGAGCAGTTGGACTTAGGTATCGGATCTGACATGGTTGTGGTTTTTTTGCGATGTTCGATCCTGAAATTTTGACCAATTACTGATACTGAGCCTGAGTAACAAATCTAGCCATCCCCATTTAAAACACTGTGTAAGTTGTGGACTAAACAGGATTAGCATTTATTTAACAGTTAAGTACTGACAATATTTGACCTAAAAACTGAATTTAGGGTTGCGTAAATTGTTTCCTCAATCTTTTTTTTTTTTTTTAATTCAGAATTTTAACACAAAATAAGAATATTTTTTACACATGCAAAGTTGGGATGGCTCGATACAGGTTTTTCATTTCCAGTATCGATACTTCGCATCTTCTATTTTAGCCTAAATCAGCAATTCTGAACGGGTTTTGTGTCAGTAAGCATTATGCATTTTAGTTTAACAAAATACACATACACAGATAGTACTATTATTTGAATCACATCAAACAACAGTAACAACAGCAAACAAATAAATAAAGTCAAACTTAAAGTCTTAAGTTCAGGTTGTCATTAAAAAACACAGATGATACTCTCTTGTTGCAGTCTCAAATTACGTTTTTTTATCATTTTACTTTTCCTGTGCGTATTTAAATCTGTTTTTTTGTCTCTCTCTGAGTGTTCCTGACCTGTACCAGAGCTCTTTGGAGCGACTGCACCGTTCCTTCTTTCACAAGATGGTATGATACTAGACTCTCCTTGCATATGATTGGCCGCACGGTGTGCCAAACAATTTCAAATCCCGCCCCTGTCTGCATGGATTCTCCGCAGAACTGAGTGGAAGGAGTGCTTTGGGCTTAGGTATTGGATTGGAAAGACTACTTTTTTTTTTTCAATATCCAATCCTGAAATTTTGAACATTATCGCACCAATTATGAGCCAAACCTAATGCCTAAGTAGGAAATGTCAAAATGGGGGTCTGATTTCTGAACTATATTAGTCAGGTTTCGGGGTCAAAAGGTGACGCTGCTTGTCACCCCAGGTCACAGGTCACCGTCATCCATGAATCATGTACTGATTAGGGATTGCTCGATACAAGTTTTTTATGTCCGATACTGATAAGACAACATGATACAACTTTTTCATGCCCGATACCTCTACTGCAACTTGGAGTATCTGCCGATACCGATATCAATCCAATACCTTATTTTTTCCTCCGGCATGCAGCAGGCTGCTGTTGCTTGTTGAAACATGGCAACTTACTCTGAAGTGATTATACCCAATACAATGAATTGGTATGTAAATTAGACATTTAATTTTCTAACAATTTTTTTTTTTTTTTGGTTTCAAGAAATACATTAAATTATTGATCATATTTTTTGACTTTGTAGCGATGGTCTCTGTCTAAAGTGGAAAAAGTGATGAGAACTTATACAATATGTATGTATTCTGGTGTAATTATATGATGTTTCACTGTGTTTTTGTGTATGTGTTATCCTATTTACAGTATGCTATGCATATCCAGTAACAGTTTTGTCCAAGCATTGAAACACTCTGCTCTGACGGCATTCAACGAGAGACCACTGAGATTTTGCTCGACAATCATCACCTCCTCGGTATCTCTCCGTTTCCAAATGAAATTATTTAGTTTATAAAGAATAAACTGCATTTATTTTTATAAAATGTGGGTTTTGGTGACGTATGACGATGGCGTGTTGAAAACACTGATGAGGCTAAAAGACAAAAATATTGAAATTTTGTGTAAACTGTGTGTTCAAAAGTTGGTGTAAAACATTTTGTTAAAAGTGGTGTATAAATAAAGAATGGAGGTACAATACTAACACTACTTCTAATTATAACAATTATAGAGTATATTAAATTGTATTATGTTATATAATATATTTTTGTCATATTAAGCCTTAGCTTCAGCTAACAGGTTTTCCACATGTGCTTTTATTTGTTTTGTTTTGTCAGGTGCTTTGGCAGGTATTTTGGCAAATTGTGCAAATCCCAAAGTCTGAATGAAAATATAAATCTACTTATGATGCAATAAAAAAACCCCTTTCAATCTCCTCTGAGGTTCAGTGTGTTTCAAACTATGGGGCACGGTCCAACGATGGGTCGCCTGGAATTCAAATGGGGTCACCTGAAATGTCTAATAATTGAAAAAAAAACACAGTTTTAATAAAAATGTTTTTCCAACCAGTTATTCTTTTTAAAATTAACTGTTGAAATAAAATACAACGTATAAATATATCTGAGCTGGTGCATCTTGACTGACAGCGATTGTGATGATTGCAACATGACCGAAAAAAATGTCTGGCCGGTCACAAGCTGAACAACGGTTGGGATACTATAGAGTAATAATATATTTACACACCGTGTATGCTTTCAAAATCTATATTTATTTATTAAAACATAAAAAATGCAACGAATATGCACAGGTTAACCAAAAAAAAAAAAAAAAATTTCCAAAAGAAATTTGTAAAATGTTCAACTAAGATGAGAAACATGCAGAAAATTTTTTTTTTTTAAAAATCCAAAAATTAAATTTCTGGAAATAAAAGGGTCTGATATTGCACTTCTTAACTGCACAAGTAAACATTTTTATTTCATTTTTTAATTTGCATTAAAAGGCATTTTTTTCATGATAGTAAGGCTATAGTCTTGCTTGTTTTTGGTAAAATTCTTAATATAGCACACATTTACACTTTTGTGATTTTTTTTAAGGATTGTGTTTTTGTATGTGGCTGAAATATGCACTGCAGTATCAAAAATAAAAATTTGAAGTTGAAAGTGGTAGATTAAAAATATTTGTATATGT